CTTAGTCCCGATGGCTTAATAAAACTTTTAGAGTAATTAGCGAGTAGTTGACCAATGTTGACCCTAGTCAACATATTTGACCATAAGTTGACCTTATGTTAGCCTTGGGAGAAATTATCATTTGTGTATCGTTCGCTATTATAAATTGTAGGTTACCAGTCAGCGCCGTTAAGTAAGCAATCGACGTTATCAGGTGAGTCTTCATGAGACTTACAATGGGATGCATACCTATGTATAAATTTATTTTCAAGCATTATATGACGGTGGTACAAATGCATGATGTTTCAGTTTACATACATGATATGTTTTACATGTATGACGTTTTATGATCAGTTGCATGCTAGGTGTTTAATCATGTTTCGAATAACTCTAGCATACTTTTCCATACTAAAGTTTGATGATTTAAGGGTGGACATTTGACCAGTAAGTCACGACCAGTATAAAACACTACCCGGACAAGTGGGTGATAAGTTAAGATTGTGATACCCAGGGCGTGTTGGTGACTAATAAGTCACGACCAGTATAAAACACTACCCGGACAAGTGGGTGATAAGTTAAGATTGTGATACCCAGGGCGTGTTGGTGACTATTAAGTCATGACCAGTATAAAACACTACCCGGTCAAGTGGGTGATCAATCGAGAATGAAGTATCAACCCAGGGCGTGTTTGTGACTAAATGACCCATTCCAGACAGATAATTTATGAGATCTCATTTCTTTCAGTATTGCATGTTTTCAGAAATTGCATGCTACTTGGTACAAGGTTTACAAGTTGAAATGTATGACGTACAATGATTTTATACACGAAAACCATGAACTCACTGAGCTTTATAAGCTGACTATAGTATGCATCTCAGGCCCAGGTAGTTCGAGGACGGATAAAAGCAGGGGCGTGCTTAGAGAGTTGCTCATCTCATGTTAGTTTTTTGTCTAAGATGCACTGTAATGATCTTTTGTAACTTAACCCCAAGAGAAGGTGGGTTAGAACTTAAGTTAGATTCTGATGATTCAAAGACTTCCGCTGTAATAGTTTAAATGGTTTTAAATTAGCCATTACTTTGGTGTATTTATTAAGGAAATGTTTCAGATTACGTAACATCTCTCTAGATGAAGATGAGGGTGTTACAAGTTGGTATCAGAGCCTTAGTTTAAGGTAATTAGGCTAAAACTTGCTTAGCTTAAGCTTAAACTGAGAAGATTGTTAGAGCTTTAGTTTAAGGTAATTAGGCTAAAACTTGCTTAGCTTAAGCTTAAACTGAGAAGATTGTTAGAGCTTTAGTTTAAGGTAAATAGGTTAAGATTTACTTAGCCTAAGCTTAAACTAAAATGATTATTAGAAGCACATGTTTATTGTGTATTGGCGTTGCTTAGCATGCGACTAAGTTTGATCCTACGTCACTACTCGACTTAGTATTCCTTTTTATTTGTAGGAGACATGGTTCGCACCATTCACACCAGGGCTATCAGACGCGGGCGCAGACGCGGATACGGAAAACGTAGGACGCCTTACGGCTAGGACCGAATAGAGGGTCGATTGACAGTCACCGCCCCAGCACCGGACAGGTTCCCGGTACCTGATCCGGAAGCGATAGTCCAGCCCACACTGGTGAAGCGTCATCATACGAGCCCATCAGGCAAGGGACCACGCCCGAACCTTCGGAAGACTACACGCCCCGCACCCCTACACGTGAGGACATGATGGAGACTATAGAGACCCTGGGGGGCGAGAACACAAGGTTAAGGGAGAGGTTGACCCGAACCTCAGATGACAATACTAGACTGAATGAATGGCTGGGAAATCTTTAGCAGGCACATGTCGAACAAGGAAGAGCCCTAAACGAGCTAATTGAAGAGAATGCGGATTTGTCGGATCAGTGTCATGCCCTGATTTGGGATAAAGTGGTGCTTGAACAGGAGCGGAGAATTGCTGCTCGCCCGGTAGGCACTAGAATCAGAGACAGAGTTCACTTCTATAAGAGAATGACCGTAGACTATGCTGGTGTAGTGAGGGGTTATTTCTCCGAATGGGTCCGATGCATCAAGAATGGCCCAAGGGCTAGTGTGTGGTGGCACTCCAGGCCATCCACATCATTTGAAGAATGGATAAGGGACCCTTATCTCCCTTACTACCCCGTAGATCAGTTTTAGACATGAGATCAGGGATGAGAGAAGGATCTTTTGAGTAGGTGAATTAATTATACGTGTCTAGATAGTTTTCATCTAGCCAGTACTTTAATAGAATTTTTGGAGCATTCACATGTGTTTAGAGCTATGAAGCATCCCGTCTTTTGTAAGTGAATGGGATTTTGTGATGTCTCTCTTCCCATGTTGTTTGAACACGAAATATATATATATATATATATATATAGTTTATTGCGCGTTATGAAATTTTCGATGAGAATTCCTTATAAAATGTTATATTATTAAACCAAAAATAAATTATTTCGTTATTAAACTTTAATTAAATTATAATAGAAAAATAAATTAAAGAAATTATATAAAAAGTGAGAACTTTTAAATAGTTGATTTGATATTAACATTGATATATTTTTTTTTCATTATGGTATCTTCAAATTTATATTTTATTCAAAAATAAAATCATTATTGTTTTCTTAAAAACACATAAAATCGTATTATAACATTGACAGAGACAAATAATTAAATAGAACGTTAAAATCGAGATGTATCTCGCTGCATTGCGCGAGTACTCTTCTAGTATATCGATACTATATTATAAAACATTTGACAAAAACTCTTAAAAACAATATTTTTTGCAGGAAGTACTGTTTATTGATGCATATTACTTAAAATTAAATATTACAAGCAAATTGTGCATAAGTACAACTTATTAAAGCTCCATACTTGAATTCGTCTAACTAAATGCAGATAAACATAATCAAATATTGGATAAACATCTTATTTTAAATATAAAAAATTTAAAATATAATTAGGTTAATCATTGATAACTAACAGAATACTTAAGGCGTGTTTGAGATTGCTTATTAAAACAACTTATGTTTTTTTGTAAAAGTGCTTATTAACTTATGTGGTATCAAACTGGAGTTTTGTAAAAAGTGTTTGGATTAGCTTATAGCGGTACCAAAAAGCAATAAGTTGATAAGTTGTTTTTTAGTGTTTGGTAAATTTTGCTTATACATGTAAAATGACCAAAAATGACGTTATCTTGTTTCATTTCCAAAGTGTCAAAACACACACAACAGTAACCAAAAACCCTAAATCGAGTTCCATCGTGAATTAGTAACCTCAAACCCTAAATTGTTCTTCCAAATCGAGTTCCATGGTTGAAGAAATCGAGTTCCATGGTTG